TGATTTGAGTCTCAACTCGAAAGCTTCTGATCCAGAACCTGGCTAAAATGTCCCGTGGCAGGTGGCAAGCTGCAGCTCAAGTACCTGAGTCCTGGCCACTCACGTGGGAAATGGATGGAGTTCCTAGCTCCTGGCTCTGGCCTGGCCCAGTCCTGAGCTGTCAATATACATTTTAGGAGAGAACCAGTAACTGCAAGGTTTTCTCTCCCTCTCTGCTTTTCAAATAATAGGAAAATGAAAAATAAATAAATAGATTTGTTTATTAAGATGTATTTATGTATGCATTGTTATTTATTTAAGGATTATTTTTATTTTTATTTTTAAAGGCAGAGTTACAGAGTAGGAAAGACAGAAAGAGATCTTCCATCCATTGGTTCATTCCCCAAACTACTATAAATACCAGAGCTGGGCTGATCTAAAGCCAGGAACAGGAGCTTCTTTTGGGTCTTGCAAGTGGGTGTAGGGGCCTTGAACCATCCTCTGCTGCTTTCCCAGGCCACAAGCAAAGTGCTGAGTCAGAAATATCACAGCCTGGATCTGTTGTTTTTTTTTTTTTTAATAATGATTACATGATTGATCAGGGTGGGAAGGATCGAGGTTTAGGGAAAATTGGGTGAATTCATTGCTTCAAAATTTGCTATTTCTTCTTGTTTCTGGGGGAAGGGGAGAAACAAAGGGGGAACTTCCCACTCATGACTTTCCACTCATCCCAGTATCCAGGGATGAGGAACCGCCACCCCATATCAATCCAGAGTCTCAATGTGTACATATTCCGATGGTTCCGTCCAAGAGGTTTGGATAGTTCTGAAATGCTGCTGATTCCACTGATCCAAGGATGATGTCACCCTCCCTGTGTCCATTGGCTCCATTTACGGAGATTTTTGCTGTCATTGCTTGTTTGGGGTAGTTATCCAATTAGTTCTGTTTTTCTGCTACAGCACCAAAGGTGTTGCCATATTCTTTTACAATAGGGCCTGTGTCCACTGCTCCACCTTTTTCATTAAGTAGGGCATGTTTTTGCAGGTAAGTTCTAGTACCCGGGTCAGGCGACCCAAGCCCCGCTAGATCCCCCACCCCCAAGGTTCACGACACCAACATCCACCTAAAAGGCAGGCCCTAGGATCTGGGCCAATTAACCCACACTCCACTGGTTCCTCTGTCCCCAGGGCTCAGGAACCCACCCCCACGACAAGGTGGGCTCCATGACCTAAGCCAAGCGACCTGAGCCTTGTCAGGTCTCAGGGCCTGGGAAAGCAGTCGAGGATGGCCCAAAGCCTTGGGACTTGCACCAGTGGCAGTCCCGGAAGAAGCTCTAGACTTCTGGCTTTGGATAGGCTCAGTTCCAGTCATTGCGGCCATTTGGGGAGTGAACCAGCAGATGGAAGATCTTTGCCTCTCCCCTTCTCTCTGTAAATCTGCCTTTCCAATAAAAACAGATAAATCTTTTTTAAAAATACATATTTCCTCAGTCTAAAGCGGGAGTGTATGTGGCTCCATGTCTCCAGGTTCCTGGAGACCACACAGGCATCTTTTTTATCACCCCGCCCCGGCAAAATGAGTGGTCCTTCTTCACCCCATAGAAAGGTGTTTGAATCACAATCTAATATTTACTTTATCTTTAGCAGACTGACCAATTTCAAAGTCTTTCCCCACCTGGACACAGACTCCTGGAAGGAGGGGATCTTGTCTGCCTCAGCTGTGTGTCCCTCAGCTTGTGCCACTTCTGTCCTGTGGTATAAATGCTTTGGAGACCTTAGACCTCACCCATGTCCTCTTATCATGAGCCAGCCTGGATTACTCTTCTTTATCCTGTTATTCTCACTGCTGATACCCTCTGCCAGAGTATTATGGTATCCATATCGAGCCGAGGAAGGCGCAGGACAGAGCAAAACTTGAATTTCATATACAGAACAAACAACTTTCACAGTGTAAGCACTTCTAGTGACATATGCAGGATATACCCACACTAAAAGCAGTATTCCCTGCTTATTAGAAAGTTGATTTTAATCAAGCATCTTGTATTTATCTGTCAACTTTAATCCTGGGCCTCATGAGGAGCAGGAAGGCAGCTGCTTGGTGAGGAGTGCAGGTGGCAAGGGAGGAACGGCATGTAGAGATAAATGAACCTGCTGAGATCAGCATTCTGGCTTCAGATGAACCTGGGGTGCATGGTGGGCTGGCACTCTGCCTGAGATTTCTCTGCTCCCTTGTCCCCCTCATCCTGTGGCCTCTCTCCTCACTCCCCAGGGGAGTTCTAAGCCCCCCAGAGAGGACTTTTAAGGCCATGGTAATCTCAAAAGGACACGGCTCTCCTCCAGGCACAAGACCCACTCCCCTGCCTGGTTCTTGCTCTAGCTGGCTGCCTGGGTGTGTGCCAGAGATTGTGTCATCTCAAGGATTTCCAGGTACCTCTCCATGTAGGATGCTTCCTGGGAAGCCACGGAGGGCTTCTGTGCTTGGCATCTTGGTTTGTATAGAGTGGGACTGTGCGATGGGATGGCAGAGAGATGGAAAACCTGAGATCTGTAACCAAGCACCTTTCAAATGCTTCCTGGACTCATGGCTGGGGAATAAAAAGGACAAAGCTGTCCCCTTCCACGCCAGTCCCGCAGAGGACAATGGTCTACCTGGGAGGGCCAGGGTCCACCTGGTAGAACTTTGCACAGGCTTCCTGGGTTACATTAAGAGGTGGCACCCAGAGCTTCCTGATGGCTACCTGGCCCCTGCCAGGGGCAACAGACACCATTTGAACAAGGAGAAAGAAAACCGGGAATGTATGGCAGGGACCCACACTAGAGCAATCAGCTTACAGAGGAGGACCCAGGGGGTCTACCAGTAGGGTGTCCAGGTACACTACTGTTTTTTGAAAGCCCCAAATAGGTGCCCACCTGGTGCCCACACAGCAACAAATGGGAACTTGATGATGTGCATGGATCAGGTTCCTGAGGACCCCCAGGGGTCAGGCAACACCCCACACTGCCTTAAAGCTGCATGAACACATCCTTGTCAGGAGTGGGGGCTTCTAGCAGATGCACAGAGGATCTGTGGACCCCAGGCTGCCTCAGTGGGTCTGAGCCTTCCAGGGTTCCAGAGAGGGGCTAAGCCAAAAGCATAGGAGTAAAATGTTTCTGAGAGCAAGTCCTGCTGGCCTCAGGCCCACTGCCACCTGCCTCAGAGAGGGGCCCATGATCATCCCTGGACTCAGGACCATCACAGAGTGGCTACCACGAGACAGGCTCTGAGTCCCCAGGCAGCTCAGTGTCCTTGCCAGCTGGTGGCACCACATAACTCTCTAGACAACCGGGAATCAGGAAACACGTGGAGCAGTTAAAAAAAATCCTTGTCACAACCCTACTAGGTGGGCACTTGGCACATCTTTATTCTACAGGTAAGAACATTGAGCTGAGAAGGGCCCTGTGGGGAGTTACATGGTCACAGACTCACAGTGCCCCCACTTAAGCATGTAGTCACTTTCCCATGCAGGTGTTCAGGAAGCCAAGTTCAGAGGCCACCACTGATGACCAAAGCCAGAGTCAGCAGTTCTATTTGTTCCTCCCCAGAAGTGCCACCCTCTCAAAATCAGCAACCCTGACAAATAGGTCATAGAAACAAACGGACGACGGGGCCAGTGCTGCAGCGCAGCATCGTAAGCCTCTGCCTGCAGCTCTGACACACCATATGGTCATTGGCTCGAGTCCCAGCTACACCACTTCCAATCCAGCTCCCTGCTAATGCTCCTGGGGAAAGCAGTGGAAGATGGCCCAAGAGCTTGGACTCCTGAACTCATGTGGGAGTCCCAGAAGAAGCTCCTGGCTTCTAGCTTTGGCTTGGTCCAGGCCTATCTGTTGTGCTTATTTGGGGAGTAAATCAGTAGACTCCTTTCCTTATCTTTCCCTCTCCCTCTGTAACTTTGCCTTTCAAATAACTAAAGTAAATATATTTTTTATGAATGAATGGATGTCACTGAAATAAAAATGAATACAAATGAAAGTCATCATGGCATGCAAAACAATTTATAAACATGCTGCCGTTGGCTCCAAGGTTACATGCCAAAGACCCAGTCCTAATGCTCTGCAAAGCATCTCCGGGGTAGCAATGACCCCTGTGGATCAGACTGACCACGCTTATGTTCATTCCAAGGCTGGGTCCAGCACCTTGTACAAGTGGCCCCACACTTGTGTCCCTGTCTCCACAACAGGAAATGAACCCTCCTGACAAGGGGGAGGGGGCAGCGTTCCTTTCCCATGAGATTTGGCAAAACGGGAGGGGGTAGAGGACAGAGCAGGAGGAAGGAGAAGAAAAGCTTCCATATGTAAATTCCTGGGGGCCATCAGCCCTCTTCCAGCTCATCAAGTGGCCCTTTCAAGGTCCCTGCTCCCCGACAGAGTGACTTCCTGTCTAGCACACTGCACCCATTGATGGGGAAGCAGCAGATACCCCCCAGTTCAGATTGGAAGGGTCCCGACACACAGGGGAACAGGAAGAAGGCAGGAGGGCAGAGAGGGGCTTGAAAGTCCACATTCTATGGGATATTCAATCCCATATTGTTGGATTATGAGAAGCTTTTTAAAAAAGATTTATTTTTATTACAAAATCAGATATACAGAGAGGAGGAGAAACAGAGAGGAACATCTTCCATCTAACGATTCACTCCCCAAGTGAGTGCAACAGTTGGTGCTATGTCAATTTGAAGCCAGGAGCCAGGAACTTCCTCCACGTCTCTCACGTGGGTGCAGGCTCCCATGGCTTTGGACCATCCTCGACTGCTTTCCATGACACAAGCAGGGACCTGGATGGAAAGTGGGGCTGCCGGGATTAGAACTGGCGCTCATATGGGATCTCGGTGCGTTCAAGGCGAGGACTTTAGCCGCTAGGCCACCATGCTGGGCCCAAGAGGCTTTTTAAGATCCCTCCCTCTGCTCCAGACTCATCCAGGCCCTGAGACCTCTGCAGAAGCCACAGAGAGAAGCAGGCCAACACCTCAGTTTGGGCCAACTCACCTGCAGGTCAAAGAACTTGCTGTACCTCCGGTAGATGGTCTGAGAGGTGGAATCGGACCAGGTGACATTGATGATGTACACCTGTGGAAGAAACAAAAGTGCATGTGAGCAGGTGACCAAGGCTGGGCTTCAAGCTTTGTGAGGCATCATTAATCTAACGGTGGAGGCTCCTGGGCCAGGACTATTTTTTTTTCTTTTCTAAGATTTATTTGTTTATATTGGAAAGGTAGATTTACAGAGAGAAGGAAAAAGATCTTCTGTCCACTGGTTCATTCCCCAAACAGCTGCAATGGTTGGAGCTGAGCAGATCCAAAGCCAGGAGACAGGAAATTCCCTGGGTCTCCCAACGTGGGAGCAGGGTCCCAAGGCTTTGGGCCATTTTCTACTGCTTTCCCAGACTACAAGCAGGGAGCTGGATGGGAAGTGGAGCAGCAGAGATGCAAACAGTACCCTTATGGGATCCTGGAGGTTGCTAGGCGAAGATGCAGCCCCTGAGCCATTATGTGGGCCTGGCCTTCTTTTTTCTTATCACATCGGTCTTGAATGCACAGTGCAGCACTAGGTACCATATGTGTCTAAATACATGCACACACTCACACACACACACCTATAAGGGCATTCAGCACAATGCTAAGGATGATGAGTCTGAAAAGGGCAGGATTAAAACAAGTAGTTTTAACTTTGTTCTTTTAATGCATATGTCTTATATAATGAGCATAAAAATTAGATCATTGTTTTATTTATTTATTCTAATTTATTTATCTATAGCTAGCAAATTTCCACTGGTTCTCAAACATTACAGTGAGTGAAACTTCCAGAAGGCCTTTCAAGACCACAGGTGCCTGGGCCTTACTTCCTGAAACTTTGTGGAAGCAGAGAGCTACACTTTGAACATCTGCCAAATATCCATCTGCAGTGGAGCTTTGGATCTCAGGGACCACACACATTTCAGGAGAGTAGGCTTCATCTCAGGGTCCTGTAGCTTAGGCCTGGAGCAGGTGCTCAGCACGTGCCTCTCTACTAAACTCCGAGCTGGTCTCTGCACAAGAAGCACACTTGTGGGACTTGTCAGCTCAAAGAGGATTTGAAAATGCTTCTAGCAACAAAGGTGTATCAGGGCCAGGCTAGCATCCCATGTCCCCACCAGACATCAGACTCCATCCCAGAGGCTGTCTCAAGCCACTTTAGAAAGCTCACTTGTGTAGGAGGTCACAGGAGGGGAGAACACACACACACACACACAACCATCTACAACAACCACAGATTCTGGCCCACTGTTTCTGTCCCTCCTGGGAGAGGCCCCTCTTCTAGCCTTGGGGCCACTCTGCTGTACTCTGCCCTGTTGCCCGCTCAGACATCTCCAGGCACACAGTCAAGAAGAGCGACACAAGTGCAGCCTGTGCTGTGCATCTGTGTTCAGGGGACAGGTAGTGGCTCTGGGTTCCCCTGTGGTGGTTCTGATGTGAGACCATCTATCAGAACCACCTGTAGAACTGTGAAAATGCAGATTTCTGGGCCTCTGCCTAGAGATCCTCAAGTTCCCACTTCTCTACCTGTAAGGAGAGTATAACAGCCCACAACATGGGCCCGGGGGCATGGCCTGACGGCTAAAGTCCTCGCCTTGAACGTGCCAGGATCCCATATGGGCGCCAGTTCTAATCCTGGCAACTCCACTTCCCATCCAGGTCTCTGCTTGTGGCCTGGGAAAGCAGTCGAGGATGTCCCAATGCATTGGGAGCCAGCCCATGTGAGTGCAGGAAGACCTGAAAATAAGTTCCTGGTTCCTGGCTCCAGATCGGCATAGCACCAGCCATTGCACTCACTTGGGGAGTGAATCATCGGATGGAAGATCTTCCTCTCTGTCTCTCCTCCTCTCTGTATATCTGACTTTGTAATAAAAAATAAATAAATCTTAACAACAAGAACAACAAAAAACATAACAGCCCACAACAAAGTGAGAAGGAAAAATGCTGGTGAGGAAGAAAAGCCTGCAGACACCTGGGCACTGACCCACCTACTTCCAGGGCCAGGAGCAAGGTCTGCACGTGGCACTGGTGAGACCAAGGGCTTGGCTGCTCAATTCATGGCCCTCCCTCCTCCCTCCTGCGGCCAAGTTCCAGCAGCAGTCTCACCATGGAGGGGTCCCTGTGCCTGAGGAGAGGAGAGGGTCGTAAAACTAGGTCATCAGAGTCCTCTGTGGCCATCTGACCAGGAAGGAGGGAAAGTCAGAGGCCACTCCCACCCTTACAAATTCAAAGCAAGCTGCTATTATTACAGTGACTATGGATGTGCCGGCCTTTGCTTCGTAGCCATGTAAATGTGCATCTTCAACAATAAAATGTGTAACCACTTCGATCACTAAATACAACAGAATGTCCCTACATGCTGGCAGAGGGCAAAGCAGGCATGTGCATCAGCTCCATTGGTCTTCAGTCAGGATGCTGCCATCCTGGCCAGCCCCATGTTGTATATCAAGAAGGGGAGCCTCTGTGAAGTGAAGTACTTTGCCCAGGATCACACAGCTAACGAAGGAGCCCAGACCTGATGAGTTCGTTCTCCATGCTCTTCACCACACTCATCTCAATCTATCTCCACTGCTACAACAGAACAGCTGAGACTGAGAAAGTTATCAAAATAAGGCAAGTTCACTTGGCTCATGGTTCTGTGCTAGCATCTGGCGAGGGACATCCATGGCAGAAGGCAGAAGGCAGAAGGGTGTGCAAGCAGCAGCAAAGATGGGAAATGGGACCAAACTCTCCATTTGATCAGAATCCACTGCTGGGGCTGCATTGTGGCACAGCATATTGAGCAGCCACCTGCAACACTGGCATCCCATAAGAGTTCCAGTTCAAGTCCTGGCTGTTCCAGTTCCAATTCAGCTCTCTTGTACTGCCACTCACCTGGGAGACCTGAATGGAGTTCCAGGCTCCTGGCTTTGTGGCTTTGGCCTGGCCCTCATCTGGCTGTTGCAGCTACCTGGGGAAAGACCCAGTGGATGAAAGCTTCTCAAGTTCTCTCTCTCTGTCACTTCTGATCTTTATATGTTGCTCTGCCTGTGAAACAATTAAATTGCTGGGGGAAAAAGTGAGAAACCCACAGCTACAATTGTGGCACCAATCCAATCATGAATTCAGGGCCCTCCTGGCCCGGTCACCTCTGAAAGATCCTGTCCCCTAACACTTTTGCAAAGGCAACTGCATTTATTATTATTTTTTTTTTGAAAGGCAAAGAGACAGAGACAAAGAAGGACCTTTCAGCTCTGCCCCAAATGCCCACAATAGCCAAAGCTGAAACTCAATTCACGTGGTGGGGGCCTGATGCCTTGAGCCATCACCCACTGCCTGGCATTGTTTATAAGCAGGAAGCTGGGCTGGTAGCAGAGGGGGGCTCCCTGATACAGGGCGTGGGCATCCCAAGGAGTAACGTAAGCCCCTCCTGGCAATTCAATCTCAGCATGTGTTTTGAAGGAGCCCTTCACACCAGGGCATTAGACCATTTCCCTCTGTAAATTTAGGCATGTGGCTATTGCAATCTGAATCTTTGGTAAGGACTGAAAAGCACCTTCTTTGAATGCATCTTTAGGTGGTTTGAAAGCGAGGGGAACACAGGGGACACAGAACGCAGGTCTGAGAACCTGAAACCAGCAACTGTCAGGACTCAGGACCCAGTCGGACCAATCACTAGGAATGCTACAAAACCAGACTCCTCACGAAGGAGACCCTCACACTCTGGGGTTTCCATGGAGGTTACAGTCCTACCATTCCCCCTGCTGACTCCCAGCCTCCCAGCTCTGTCTCCCGCTCTCTCATCTCTGCCTGCAACCCCAGCTCCCACAGGTCCCTGTGTAGGGAAGAGATGCTGCTTTTGAATTCGGTGCTGCCCTGCTCCCCACCTCTGCTCTGGCAGCTGAATACCAGGAGGCCCGAGTTGCACACCTCTCCCCAGAGAGAGCAAGCTTGCCCTTGCCTGTGGGCACTGAGGGGCCTTTCTCCTGAGCTAGTCAAGTAGAGCCTGGAGGAGGGGTTTCACTGGGGATTAACACCCACCCTCATCTTCCCTGCAAATTAGGAGCTTCCTTTTGCCTCCCAGAGAATTCAGCACAGGCCCACAGCCTCCCTCCTTGTAACCCAGAGGAGCCATAGGAACCCAGGGCCCAGGCTGGGTATGGCCAAGGGACAGGAGTAGGGTCTGGAATTGGCAGGGGCCAGTCTTAATCTCAGCATCCTCTTTACTGGCCATGAATGCTTAGCACAGCCTCTCAAGCCCTGGGACTCATCTCTGCCCAATGAGCATCATGACCTTCAGGGCTGCCAGGCCTGGCGTGATCCTGAGAGGTATGTGCTTCCCTGCAGGTGACCAAGCCAAGAGGACAGCCCAAGCTCCGGACACCCAGCCAGGGTTATCGCACACGGCAGCAGAGCCTGCCCAGTGTGGGCAGGTACCTAGCCCTTTGCTCTTCAGAATTACTACAATAGACACAGTGAGTCATTTCTACCAGAGGCAGGCCCTCTGGAGAACCAGCAGGAGGGAAGGGATGAAAGAGCCGCCAGGGAGTCACCCAGCTTGGACATGGCCTTGCAGCCTCCCAAGGAGCACTTCTTTCCTTGTTGGGCAAAACAGCACTCCTCCATTTGCTATGCCCTCAGCAGGTAGGTAAGAGCAAGACTCAGGCATGGCTGGGTTATTGCAGAGGGAATGCACGCCCATCCCCACGTTCAGGAACTTGCCCTGCTGGTCTAAATCCTGGTTAGAAGCCTCCCTAGAGACAAGGCCAGAGTTAGGAGGGCAGTGGCCAGGCCCCTAGCTCTTGATCTCATCCACCTTCTTTCTTTTTATTTTTTTTGAAAGATTTATTTTTATTACAAAGTCAGATATACAGAGAAGAGGAGAAACAGAGAGGAAGATCTTCTGTCCAACGATTCACTCCCCAAGTGACCACAATGGCTAGTACTATGCCGATCTGGAGCCAGGAACCAGGAACTTATTTTCAGGTCTCCCACACAGGTGCAGGGTCCCAAGCCTTTGGGCTGTCCTTGACTGCTTTCCCAGGCCACAAGCAGGGAGCTGGATGGGAAGCGAGG